ATATAAGGACTCACGGTCATGCTAGACCCCAATGTATATGAACTCGTCACCATGCCTATACATCGTACTCGATCATTTAGCAATTAGCAAATAAGATTCAACTCATATTCCCTCAAGCTAGGGTTAAACCAAACACTTACCTCAACTTTCGCGGCCAATACAATCCTCCACAACCGCTTTCCCTCTCGAATTCGGCTCCAACTCAACCAAATCTATGCAATGAGGACTTCATGATATCAATATGTGCTAAACAAATCAAACCCAATGACTAATTATAGCTTTTTCATCAATTTACCCCAATAGGTCAAAAATGCCCCCGGGCCCACATGGTCAAAACTCGAGGTTCGAACAAATTTTTGGAAAATAGTCTCTGAAATGATTTGGCACTTGGAATGCTAAACGTACAAATGGGAGAAATGCTTGAACCTTTAGAGGTCCAAAAAGCCTCGCAAGTGATTAATAGCCAAGACCATTCCTTAGACGTTGAAGCCGAAAAATCCTTCTTTGGCACTTGATCAAGACCAATAAAAACTCTCAAATGCTCAAAATGATAGGATGATGCTCATGTTGGATGCCATTCATGAAAATGACGAGAAGCAAAGCTTGGCACTCGATGACTTAAAACAAGCACTAACTAAAAATGATGATAATATCCGCATCATGAAAAATCAAATGAAAATATTGGTTGAGGCTCACAATGCCCACCAACTTGAGAGTGTGGAAAGAGATCAAGAAGAGTCCAACTTAGAGGAAGAAAGTGAGATTTATTTTGAGGAATCAAGAATTGAACATCCACCAACTGACTCCATGCTTGTTAGTGATGCCAAGAATAATATGGAATTAGAGTCAACTAAAAAATTGAAGATGTGGTTGAAAATGACTCTAGTTCGGGGGACCAAGAGGATGTCAAAATCCAGAAAGAAATGCAATTTGGAGGCTTGATGTCATATTTCAAGCATTTTACAACTTTGGAGTTGCATGGTGATATGGGAATTTAGCCGTGCAAATCCATATGGAAATGCAAAGAAGAAAAACAAGAGCCATGCATTTTACAATTGGCATATTCAAGAAGGCAATATGCATTGCTCACAAGAAAGCCATGAAATGCAAATGAAGAAATTAATGTGTGGCTTGATCATCTATTTACCACCCATGTTGCTTGTGGTCGGAAGCTTGAGTCCAAGTTAGGTGCTCAATTTATATCATCCAAATGGCGAGAAAAGTGGTAAAATAGATTTGCGGTGTGCCACGATGTTAAATGCGGCGCTTGGTTGGAGGCAACCCATATTTTCAAAGCATTTAATCGTTTTTTAAATTTTAATTTTTAGAATATGTTAGAATATTATTTTTGACTAATCTGCCAAGATTCACAATTTTTTGAGTTGATTTGAGAAGGTCGAGGTGACCAGAGAGCAAAAAACCAGTAGCTGGAAATTGCAGCAGCTCAGTCTTTGCATTTGCGAACATCTATTCGCAGTTGCGAACTTGGCTTCATCGCAAAATCGTAGAAAGGGTCTCATTTGTGACCTCTGCTAGATTTTGAAGTTCCCAATTGCAAAGAGGGGTCACAGATGCGACATCAGAGGCACTTAAACTAGGTCTTGCTTAACACTTGTAAAAAATAGCAAAAATCTTTGGAGGCCTACAAATTGAACGACTGGTATCTTCCTCTCTCTCCCAACTTTGAAACTCCCTTATTTTCACTCCTAAGTGCAAGCATCAGGGTACGAAGGCTTAATATTCGGGCTTTTTATGTTCTATTGCATCATCGTCTTCTTCTTCTATCCTCTATCTCCCAACAGTTAGGGTTCAAATGAGCTCTTCTCATCCGTACAAAATTATTGAAAAATATTTTACATCTTGCTCTGATTTCTAGGTGAGGTTCGTTAATAGTGTGAGCTAAGGTATTTGCTATAAAAATGGGGAAGTCGGAGTACCCATGGCCTTATTAAAATAGAAGTGATTTTGTGTGCTTCCTATGTGATCGATGAAAGGCCCGAATGAGATTCTTGGCCGAATCATCGAAATTTCTTCAACGTGGTTGTGTGTGAAGTTTATTGCATGTTTGTATGCCTAAAAACTGATTGGGCTATCTAAAAATGTGCTTTTGTTCGAAAAAATTTGAGGCTTGGGAATGTTCTATGAGCAAAGCTTAGCTAGGGACGATGAGATAGTAATTGTGATGGCCTCTTCGCATTTGAGAGCTTTGCATTTTCGAAGAGGTGGTTGCAATTGCGAAAAAAGTCAGGCCTGGAAATCTTCGCATTTGCGAAGATGATATCGCAATTGCGAACTATGTTAATTTCTGCTACCTTCGCAATTGCGAAGAAAATGTCGCAATTGCGACATTACAGAGCAGACCCCTGCAGATTTGAAAATCCTGGATTTTTTTCTGAGGCTGGGTTTCGGCTGTTTAATCATTTCTCTGGCATACTTGTCTCATTTGCAATACATTTCTGTCACGACCCAAATCGTTTGCCCGCGACAGTTGCCTGTGTTCTACCTGTCAAGCACCCCTAAGCACGCATATAAGATATAAACCTGAATTATATCTGTTGAATTACGAGAATAATATCCATGAAGGAAACGTTCCCAAAAGGCATATGTACATATACGTGCAACACACGTAGGGCGAACCGACAAAGCTGCTATACACAACTATATACCTCAAAATTGGAAGTCGGGAAGGCCACACACTATCCAACTAGACATACCGTCTACAGATCTCTAATAGAAATATAACTGTACAATGACGGGACTGAGCCACGTCACACCCATATTATACAATCATATCATACCAAAATAAAAAGTAGCTCCGAATCAAGTGTAGCATGCCAACTCTCGCTTATCAAGGATCCTAGAAGGGGGACCGTTAGCTTGTCTACCTGCACATGCGGGTATGAAACACATGCCCCGTGAAATAGGGCAACAGTACAAAAAATGTATTGAGTATGTAAGGCATGAAAATTAGTACGTAAAACACATGGATGAAACATGGAATAAAGAAATCCATTTGTAAATCTGAATAACCTTATAAATTCTGAAACATTTATAATGTCATGCACGTTCATATAAATGTCGTGTCATGCATAGGTATGGGTGTACATAATATCATCAATCCACTGAGGGCATCGCGTGATATCGCCTCGGTCAATGCGGGCAACATCATCAACATATACACACTGATCAGGTGGTGGTGTGTATATAACGTCGTAACCTTTTTCCCATATCCCATATACATAAATATATACATATAAATACGCGTATATAACTTCGTCTAGTCATGGTCAATTTACATGCATAAATGAATAAAATGCATGAAAATATGTTTAAAATATCAATATTTTTTTCCGATAAACTTTATCAACTGCGTATTATTTTGACACCCATGATTATACTAATAATATGTCACATGGGGAATCAAGAACAAAGAGACCTCTAGTATTTCTATGAATAGAGTCGTTTATAAAAACTGTGTATTTGCTTGTTTCTTCTGTATAACTTGGACCATACCAAAAAGAAAGAAGGGATAGCCTTAACATACCTGAAGTAGGGAAAACTTTGTATAATTTTTTTTGGAGAAGATTGCACCGTACTCCTGTAGAACCGCAAAATTTTACATTGCTACAATTCTAACAAATTCTCGTTGGAATTGTTTTATTGCAAGAATGTTGTTTGAATTTTTGCTGGATGGAGGATGAATCCGTAAGGTCTTATGAACCCATTTCTTGTTTGAAAGTGAGAATGTAACTTTGTTTGAAATTGAGAAGGCGACGTTCTGTTCCTAAATGGAACTTTGTTTGAAATTGAGAATGGAACTTTGTTTGAAACTGAGAAGGCAACGTTCTGTTCCTCAATGGAACTTTGTTTGAAATTCAGAATGGAAACAAAGTCCTGGTAAAATTAAAAGAATTTGTATCCCTGTGACACCTAATCAAGGAATGACTCTTAGTCATTTCTGCATAATGTGGCTAGCTGCCACATGGGCTGGGGATGGGATATTTAATTTTTATCCACTTATTAGGTAATTAGGTAATGTCCCGTTATCCGATAATTAACCAATAACCTGCAAATTTAAGAATTGCCTCAAATTCTTAAAATTCTACTTATTTTTAATATGCTCTATGCATCATACTATCGTTGCCATATGGTACATTTCATGGTAATAGTTCATAATTATCGGGTATTATCGCTCGAACCATATTTTATCTCAAATTGGCCACTTTAAACGAAACTCGTTTTCTTTAATTTGTGTACCCTTTATCCTTCATGACACTTATTTATCGCTAGTTATAAATGTCACACCTCCTTTTTACACCCCGAAGGGTATAAGGGAGTTTTTTCCAATTTAAGTGACAATCGAAATGGGATTTATTTAATTAAAAATCAGAGTCGCCACTTGGGATAGTTTATGGTGTCCCAAGTCACCGGTTCAAAATCCCGAATCGAGGAAGTTTGACTCTATTCACGGTCTGCGAACTCAAAAATTCGGTTAAGGAATTCTGTTAATCCGGGAGAAGGTGTTAGGCACTCCCGAGTTCCGTGGTTCTAGCACGGTCGCTTTGATCATACTTGGCTTATTAAAGTTGTCTAATTACTCATTTTAGAAACTATGTGCTTTTGCCTTTTTTAACTAAAAATTATCTTGAAACGGGTCACGCGTACGTGTACCCATTTGTTTGGCGCGTCAAAAATTATGTCACGCGAACGTGTCCACAATTAATAACGCTTTATTATTATTAAGAAAATTTGGCCGGAGTTGCGCGAACGCATACTCCGGTTTTGTTTTTAGAAATCGTAATCATGTCACGCGAACGTGTCCACAATCACAATGATATATATATTTTTTTACTGTTGTACTAATTAGTTCCGCAACTTAATTATCTTATTGGAAAACAAATGTTGAGAAGCAAGCATGGAAAAACTTTTAAAAAAAACACACACACAAAAAAAGAAAAGCAATTGTTGAACAACAAATAGAGAATGCTGACAAGCGAATATTGAACGGGCCTCTCTTTTCTTCTATACTTCATTTGTCATGAATATCATGGATAAGTGCATAACAAATATATTGGAGAAACTTCAAAAGACTCATATCATTTACATCTTCAGCAATTGACATTTCGGCCTTTTCATCAGGATTGGAATCAATGCGTTCAATCTTCAAGCAAATAAGCAAAGAGCAACATATACAATAAAAATCCATGTGTTTAGCGCAGTATTATTAAATCAAACAACTTGAATATTCAGCCATAAAGAGAAAAAACAAATAAAATTACACAATGGTCTTAGAGGCGTACCTAGTTTCCAACAAACCAAAGAAAAATCAGAAGAACAATTGAATGGGATCGTGACCGGATCAGAGACTACGCCGGCGACCACGAGCGAACGGAACCTCTTCTTTCAAAAGATTATGTAGCTCGTATCTACGATAAAAGTAGCTTTGTAGGTTCAATCAACTAAAGTTGTTTGAAGTAAGACTAGTTCAAGAATGGAGAGAAAAGACTTCAGGAGGCGGCTCTAGTCTTCTTTTGTCAAACGTGGTGGTTTCCCCGTTAAATAATGGCTGCTCTTTTGGCGTGAGAGATCTTTAGAGGGTGGAGCAGCTGGGTTTTTGGAAAGGGAGGGATTTTGGTTTTGGGCGTTAAGGGTTCTCTATGGGTCTGCGGCGGATTTCAGTCTAGGCATTAGGTCTCCTTTTTTTTTTTGTTTTTTTAGCTCATTGTAGGCATTACCTATAATTATTTTTTTTTTTTTTTTTTGGCAAAATCCACTAGGCATTGCCTAGGGCTAGTTTTTATTTATATAAAACAAAATAAAGGAAAACAAAATGTCATGGAGTCCTAATAAGTGTACAGAATAAAAATTGAACTCTACATAAGTCCTATTATCAAAATTGAGAAATGTACTCAAAATTGATATCACATAATAACTACTAAATAGTGTAAAATAAACTAGCCCATGAAATACACTACACGTTGATCCAGTCCGAAAAAAATAGTGTCTTGGTTTTAGGTGTATTTTTTGTGTATTTGCCAATTAGTCCCTAGGTATTTTTTTTTTAAGTAAATCCACTAGGCAGGAGCCTAGGGCTAGTTTTATTAATAACTGAAAAGGAAAAAAGAACCACATAGGACAAGTACAAATAAGGGGGACAATAGCACTAGTAGTGTTGCCTTTATGCCTTGGCCATATAATCACTCCTCTGCGCCTCACAATGCCCATATGGCAGCCTCATGTAGAGGAACCATGGTGTAGCTGCCGGCAAAGTCTCACGAGGGCATATAATCTCATGGCCATTTGGATATCTTTCCAAAGGCAGAGGACAATCGCAACACAAACTAAGCTAAACCTTACCTTACTAATTCTAATGAGGCAAATAAAAAGCCTCACCTACTAACAAGCATGTAGAAAAAATGAACTAGCTAACACTAAATGTTCTAGGGTCTTTTTATTTATTTTTTGTCCAAAAGAAGAGTCTAGAAGGGTTCCTAGACTACACAATGCCTTTTAAAATAAGATAGAAATACTACACAATGCCAAAGTTAATCCTAATTAATTAAACTATATATGAAACTATTTTTGTGCTTTCGAAATTATATAAAAAATAAGGTACTATTTTTTTGTATTTTTTAAATTTATGAAAATACATAAACTAAAATATTTATTTTAATTTTCATTTTTCTTGTAATAAAATAAAGTAAAAGAGTCAAAATGAGTTGAAATAGCGATATTAGGCCTAAATTAAATATTTACGTGCTAAAATATGAAAAATGTTGGGGAGAGTCAAAAATCACATGTCTGCAGCTGCCCCTCTTTGACTGGAAACGCGAAGAGTTTTCAGACAAAGAACGACTAGACAGGTTTTTTTGACCCGACACTTATTTAAAGAGACCAACACTAAGAGAAATGGGGAATGTGACCGAGCCATGGTATCTGAGCTGCCTACATATCCTTGGCTATAAAGGAATCAGGCCACGTGTAGTTCAGAAGTGAGTGAGATGATGGAGTATACCGAGGTGGAGAGCCAGTCGAGGTGTCGTTCTGTGGAGGTTCCGGTCCGCGGTCCTGTTATTACATCAAAATCAAAAGAAATGAAAAAGACTAGCTAAGCCTATTAACTACGAGTTACAAGATTCCTATCTATAAGTCTTCCGAAGCTTGGTCTTGAGTCTTGAGTGGTTCTTCATGCAGACTTTAGATTTGAACCTTGACGCTTGCTAGTTGCAGGTGCTAGTTCATCCTTCTTCAGCTTTTCGGATCAAGACCAGGTATGCAGTGCTTGTGACCTCGGCCACGTCTTGAGCAGCTCACATCTCTTCTCTACTTCTGCATTTGGATTCACTTTTTGCCCTTTTTTTATTCTGGGTTGTGACTAACTTCCGTTGATCATCTCGGACTGTTGACTCGCATTCTTGCCACGAGCTTCTATTGTTGCTGACTTGAATTGTATTCTGAGATGCTTTCCCTTTCTCCAGGTGGACGCCTGACTGCCAAAAACTTGAACTGTATTCCCGTGCTCTCCGGGTGGGCGCCTGACTGTTGAACTTGAATTGTACTCCCGTGCTCTCCATGTGGGCTCCTGATTGCTGAACTTGAATTGTATTCCCGTGCTCTCCAGGTGGGCGCCTCACTGCTGAACTTGAATTGTATCCCCGTGCTCTCCAGGTGGGCTCCTGACTGCTGAACTTGAATTGTATTCCTGTGCTCTCCAGGTGGGTGCCTGACTGCTGAACTTGAGTTGTATTCCCGTGCTCTCCAGGTGGGCGCCTAACTGCTGAACTTGAATGTATTCACGTGCTCTCCAGGTGGGCTCCTGACTGCTGATCTTGAATGTATTCCCTGATTTCCAGGCGGGCTCCTGATTGCTAAACTTGGATGGATTCCCTGCTCTCCAGGCGGGCTCATGTTTGCTAAACTTGAATGTATTCCCTGCTCTCCAGGCGGGCTCCTGACTGCTAAACTTGAATGTATTCCCATGCTCTCTAGGCGGGCTCCTGACTGCTGATCTTGAATGTATTCACTGCTCTCCAGGCGGGCTCCTAATTGATAAACTTGGAGGTATTCCCTGCTCTCCAGGCGGCCTCCTGATTGCTAAACTTGAATGCATTCCCTGCTCTCCAGGCGGGCTCCTCACTGCTGAATTTGAATGTATTCCCTGCTCTCCAGGCGGGTACCTGATTCCAACAAAAATAGACAAAACAAAGGAAATTTCTGCCCCAGTTTGGTAGCTGGGCACCCATGTGAGTGTTAAAACTGAATTTTTCTACCACTATTGAAAGCTAGGTCCTATTATCCGGGGAGGTCCTGACAACTCTTAATTGAACGACAATTGTAAACTTGAGTTATATCTTCTAAAGGTATTACTTCCGCTAAGTCCTGTTATCTAAGAGGGTCTTAAAACTACATCCTATTATCCAGGAAGGTCCTGAAAATCAAAATCAAATCTTATCTTAAAAATGACAATTTTTACGGCTGAATTATACTACCCTACAGCAGAATTTACGCTACATCTTGTTATCTAACGGAAATCTTAAAACTAGGTTCCATTATTTAGGGAGGATCCCGAAAACTCCTAATTGAATCTTATCTTAAACGTGCAAACTTTGAAACCCACTGATATTCCTTATGCTAAACTATGCTATTCATGACTGCTTTGAAATTTAAACTAAGTCCCATTTTCCAGCAGGGTCCTGAAAACTTCAAATTAACTCCTATTATCCAGGCGAGTCCTGGGAGTTTACAGTCAAACCTGTTTGGTGCTTGCCTTTCCTTACGGAGAGATCCTCCGAAACACTGAAACTTTCTGTGTTCCTTTGTTTTCCATGTGGATTCCTGCAACCAAAACAAACAAAACAAACGAGATTTTCTACCCCAGTTTGCACTAGGAAGATTTGTGAGTTGTTAGCAAAATTGTAAACCACTTATACTACTGATGGAATGATTGTCACACCTCCTTTTTACCTACTACACCCCGTGAAGGGATATAATAAGGGAGTTATTTCCAACTTGAAGTGACAATCGAAACGGAATTATTTAATTAAAATCAGAGTCGCCACTTGGGAGATAAATGGTGTCCCAAGTCACCGGTTAAATCCCGATCCGAGGAGATTATGACTCTGTTAACAGTCCGCGAACCAGAACTCCGAATAAGGAATTCTGTTAACCCAGGAGAAGGTATTAGGCACTCCCGAATTCCGTGGTTCTAGCACGGTCGCTCAACTGTTGTATTTGCTTTTATCTGATTTTAAAACACATTCTAACCTATATGCCTTTTAGTAGTAAACCGTTTTTATTGTTATTTTTAATAAGAATTGCAACGCCGTAAAAATGTATCTCGAACCACGTCACACCAGTGCACCCGTGGCTTTTGACGCATTTCGACTTTGTTGAGATTTAGATTTGGGTCACATAAATGTGCACCCATGTTTAGGAAGGTAATATTATTAAAATACGCGCCTAAAGCAACTACGCGTTTATTATCTCTGGGGAAAAACCGTGAAATTCGCTAGACGGTTCACCCAAATTCTAAGTATTTTATAGCATTTATGAGGGCCGCGCAATTTGCAGTTTATTCGGCGAGGCTCGTCACATTTTAGTTTAGGGTCAATCCTAGAACAATCTACAATTCTCTACTCAATTTGTCTTTAAAAGTAAAAGAACTGCTAATCAGTTCAAAATTCTGAACTTACTACTGGGCCTCGACGCCAGTTCCTGGACAGGAAGTCATTTGGGCCCAACATGGGCAAAGACAGGCCCAGAAGTTGGGCGTCTAGACCATGGTCGATTTCCAGGCACAGATGAAACGGAGATGCCATAATTCAACTATGAACCATTGAAGAAGTTTGTCAGAACTCAAGCCATTCATGAATTGATGGACTTACGGACCAATTTTTCAGAGTATTCAGATCATTTTGAGACACCTACACTCTAGCTGCTTTTAATCCTTGACTTTGGATTAATGTATGACAGTAGCACAATTCAATTATGATTTCACTTAACCTTGCATACACATATCAACGACT